TCTGACAGTTATCAGCTGCTTTCGGAGTTAGACATCAATGGGGCAGAAGAACAGCTGGAGCCTGTTCCCAATGTGCGCATGCACAGAGCTGCCAGGGGAAGGGAACAGCTAAGGAACAAGAGTCACCTCCGGAGTAAAGGCACAGGTGGACAGTGAATGGCCCCTCCCAGAGGGAATAAAGAGGAGCAAAAAGGGGAGTGGAGTTTGCAGGAGACAATTAGTTCAATTCATTAGGGTGAAGATCTGTTCCTGACTTCTTGCCAAGTAATGGCTGCTACAGCGTGGCATTTGGAAGATATCGGCCTGGCAACTCTCCAAGCCTGATAAAGGTCTGTGGTTGTGAAATCTCATGAAAGACTGTTTCCCTTTAACCTAAATAAAAGAGGTTTTTTTCAGGATGAGGAGTCTGCTTCATGATCTTGGGAAGCCTACATCAGAACAAGTCCACCTGCTGCACAGTGAGGAAATCCTATACCAGTGATAGCGAATCTTTTTCACCTTGGGTGCCAAAAGCACATGTGCGTGCCCACCCACATAATTTAATGCCTCCCCATGCCACGCCTCCTGCACATGCATGTGTGCCCCCCTGCTGTCCCCCATATGTGCACATGACTTTCTAGGAGTCTGTGGAGGGCAAAAACAGCCTCCCCCGCTCCCCAGAGGCCCTCTGGAGGCCAGAAACTTCCAGTGGACCCAGTACAGTGGTGGGTTGCAGGAAGTACGCCCTGATATGGGCATACTGGAGCCTGCCCAGAGCACCAGGTACCCTTCCAGTATGGTGTTTTGGAGGACCCACCTGCCCACCAGTGCTTCTTACCTGTCTTTAAACCCTTCGGCGTTTCCGCACACGCGCATGTCGTGTACAGTGCCTGCGCGACACTCCACTGAGCAGCTCGAGCATCGCGGAGACTTGCTGAGGCGTCGCTGGATGGTAAGATGCATGCATGCGCCGCGTGCGTTCATGTGGAGGAGGCCGGGCCCCTTTGCAACTCTACCGGTTGCAATGGGATCCAGAACCCACCACTGGCCCAGTAGTTCCATTTTTCGCCCTCCCCAGGCTCCAGAGGATTTCTAGGATGAAAAACGGCCCAACATGCAAACCGGAAGTTCCGGAACGGACTTCCAGGATGCCTGTTGGGCCATTTTTCTCCCTCTGGAGGCTTCAGGAAGTCCATTCCCGAACTTCCAGTTTGTGTGTTGGGCCATTTTTCACCCTCCCTAAGCTCCTAGAAATCCTCTAGAGCCTGGGGAGACTGAAAATCACACACACATGCGGGAGCTGACAGGGCAACACCTTGCGTGCCCTCAGAAATGGCTCCGGGTGCCACCTGTGGCACATGTGCTATATGTTTGCCATCAGGATCCTATACCATTCCAGACAATCCCTTCTTAAAAGCCTCCAATGAGAAATAACCAGACCTTAAATGGTGCTCCATGAAGACTCCGGAACAAATTCTTAGTGACATCCCAGTTCTTAATTATCAGAAAGACGTGTCTACAATATTAATGGATTGTGACTTCCTAAGGAGCACCTTCTGCTCATGTTATAGTAGGAAAATAACGGGAGAACAGCAGAAACTGAACCACAATGTCTCAAAATAGCTAAGTGCGTAATCTGAAAATGTTGTCACAGGACGTTAAAAGCCACAGTGGGCGAGAAGAAGAGAATGCACCAGTTTTTAAAATATAACTTTCATTGATATTTTTAACAAGGTTTTTTTAAAAAGACAAATATTAGAAAAGAAACCAAGGAAGGAAGAATTATGAATTAAAAAAAGGAAAAGATTGTAAAGAAACAGCTTCTGATCTTTTTGACAGCAGTTATAAAGGCATTTATATTTTACCTTTTCTTGTTAACATCACAATTTATTTCTTTACATAAGTTACCCTTTCTACTTATCAAACTCACAAATTACACGCTTGTTTCCCTTTTTTTTCAGCAAAAAAACCCATAAGGGATTTCTAGTCACTGATAAATGTAGTTGTTGATCTTTCTCTAATCAAACAAACTAATTTTGCCATCTCTGCTAGTTCTGCCATCTTCAGCAATCAATGCTGCATTGTGGGTACTTCAGAGTCTTTCCATGTTTACACATATAATAGTTTGTTTGCCCACAGATAGTCCTTGACTTACAACTGGTCCTTGCACTTACACATATCACAGCATCACCATGGTCATGTGATCAAAAATTGGCAACTAGCATGTATTTATGACAATTTATGACAATAAATTAGCAACTTCTTGTTGTTGTTAGTTGCAAAATCATGTCCGACCCATTGCGGCCTTGATTGTCATCGTAAATCGAGGATTACCTGTATAAAAATAATCCAAATTTACCTGCTGTTTATACTCCGCAAGATATCAAGCTTCACTTTATTCTAAACTGAATTGTTCTGTATTCTGTATGGTGGGGGGGTTGGACTAGAAGACCTCCAATGTCCCTTTCAACCCTATTATTCTATGTTCTTCTGGGCCATGATATCTGAGCAACCTGGGGCCAGCATTATCCTTTGAAGAGCACCAAGTTGAGGAAGCTGTGCTCGAAGTTATTGGAGCAAGATGGGATTGCACAACTGGGGCAGTGGTGGTATTCAGCAAGTTCTGACCGGTTCTAGCAAACCGGTAGTGGAAATTTTGAGTAGTTGAGAGAGCAGGCAAATACCACCTCTGGCTGGCTCTGCTCCCATGTATTCGCTCCCTCCCAAGTCCCAGCTGATCGGCTGGGTCTTCTTTTGTTGCCCTGCACAGGAGAACACAGCTGGGAAGCAGCTTAGTGGGGTGGGGAAAGAATGGGGATTTTGCAGTATCCTTCCCATGGAGTGGGATGGGAATGGGGATTTTGCAGTACCCTTCCTCTGCCACGCCCACCAAGCCACACCATGCTACGCCACACCCACCGAACCTGTAGTAAAAAAAATTATAATCCCACCACTGAACCGAAGGTGTCTGCCACAAAACAAACTAAGTTATGGTGAGCCCTATCCCAGAGTTGAGATCATTTTGCAAGCCCACCCTCTTTGTGATAGGGTGGAACGTGCATGGTGACATCACTATACATATGTAGGTGCCATGAAAGCACATCTTGTTCATTGCTTGCCAGCAAAAAAAAAAAACCCAGCCCAGGTGGCTTTTTGTCTACCAGAAATAGCTAATTTCTGGCTGAGAGCAGACCAACTATAGCTAGTCTTTTTTTTTTTTTTTAGTGGTTGCTTTTGTTACATGGAATAATTAGCCTCCCCCAACACCGCTTGCGTATTGATTGTTTTGCGGTCCCCCGCTTGAGTTCTTTTAAAAAAATGTTCTAGGAATCTAATTATGTCAAATGACTTCCCAGGTTGTCGTATAGATGCTTAAAAATATCGACGTTCTATGCAAGCAGCACATCCAAGAGGAAGAAATGTAATTAGGAACTTCAGCACATCGTGTCTCCTGTGATCTTGCATTAATGACAACTCTGAGAAAATTAACAGCTTTCATAGCAATGTCAATGCTGAGCCCACCTGGGTGGACAGCTGAAAGTTAATCTTAATACCGCACCGGATTCTCCCTGACTAATTTACAAAAAAGTAAATCTGTTAGCACGTCTGGATTCATCAGTGGTGGGTTTCAATTTTTTTTAGAACCTCTTCTGTAGGTGTGGCCTGCTTTGTGGGAGTGGCTTGCCAGCCATGAGACTGGGTGGGAGTGGCTTGCTGGCCATGTGACTGGGTGGGAGTGGCTTGCCAGCCATGTGACTGAGTGGGCGTGGCTTGGAAGTCATGTGACTGGGTAGGCGTGGCCAACTTGTAAAATGTGGTGAAACTCACTTAACAACACTCTTGCTTAGCAACCAAAATGTTAGCTCAGAAACTCTGGCATTTGAAGCATGCAAGTCTTAAAGCTGTCAAAGTATAAGACCCTTGCACCCCTAACCCTTTAGAAAAAAAACCCAAGGGTGTTCAAACTTGACAGCTTTAAGACTTGTGGGCTTCAACTCTCAGAATTCCTCCTCTTGCTCCCATCTTGATGATATGTGGACGGGCGGGGGGAGGGAGCTGGAACCGGTTCTAAATGGCACTGTAGATTTGTGGAACCTCTTCTATAGAAGAGTTA